AATGTGGTGTTGATTTGCATTTTGCTGACTGCATTGTATATCGGAATGTATCGTATCTTGCAGTATTTTTTGAAATATACTCCCTCCCCTGAAATTGTTAGCCAGCTTGATTTAAATGCGGCATATGATGGGACATGTGAAGACACGGGGCTGAAAGAGCTCGGTGCAAAGTTTTGCCTAGATGATTTTGCCTAGGTAATCTGACGATGAATGTGATTGGCATATGATAGTCTCGGGTCAGGGGCTGCTTTCTTGGCATTGAAGAGCCCACGGCCAATGCCTTCCCAAAAATGAATATACCAAGATACAGAGAGCACTCGACATGTGTGCTAAGATAAGAAAGTGCATTCTATTGATATATGTCTTGTCCTATCCAAGGAAAATGAACTCGCTAATCAACATGAAACACAATACTCAGATAGTTGTGGAATCTTTCTTCCCCCTCAAATAGGGTAATATACAACGTGAATTCGATCTGGAACATAGACCGTCGATCGCTGGGAGGCCGAATATGTCTAATTTTTTACAGCTTGGCCTTAGGAGCCTCAAGGGTAGGCATCATAAGATCCCTCATATCACCAGCAGCCTCGTTGAGGTAGAAGCTCATTTTATCCTATAACCAAACGTTAGCAAAACCATCTTAACGGACTCCAAACCCCCCAAAACCCAGGGAAAAGAAAAACCTCAGACTTACCGAGCCCAACCCCTTCGAACACACATTAAACTGGATACTGTTCTCATTAATCATATACGCAATTCCCCAGCCATCATCCACCACTTGACTCCACCCATATCCGTTGAAGTACTCGGAACTCAACTGACTACTCGAAATAAACCACGTCGAGCTGTACCCGTACGCCGGATCCTGGAAAAGCGCTGGCACGGGCTCGCCCTCCTTGAGGCACTTCTTCAGTCCGAAGAGATGGCGGTCTACACCCTTACCGTCCGAGGCGTCGGAAATGTACTTGACGTGCGCGTTCAGCGCGTCGCGAAGGAGTTGCTGGCATTTTTCGGCAGGGACGTTCGGATCCGCCATGGCGGCGCAAAAAGCGACGCTTTCGTCGGATACGGTTCTGCAGGTTTCGGTGCGGCCTTCTTGGAAGCGGCGCGTGGCGGCGGATTCATACGTAGGCCGGTTCTTGCCGTAGAACTTGTGGTATGCGAGCTGGATGATCATCTGAACATAGGCGTCGGGCGAGCACTTGAATTTCTTGATCAACCCTTTGCCGTAGCCTTGGTAGGCTTGGACCCTGAGCTCGTGCGCGCCGATTTGCTTTGCGAAGTGGGCCTGAGCATCGGCGATGTCCTTTTGGAGGTCGGCGTTGAGTTCGAAGCGGAGAGGTTTGGGGTCGGGGATGTTGGAGCGGACTTCGGGATTTTCGAAGTCGAGGGCGTTGGTAAAGATGAGCATGTTGGCGTGGTCGTTGAGGCGGTGGGTGGGCGTGCCATCCATCATGCTGTGCTCGCCCATGAAGCCGGACGTGCCGTTGTCGTTGATAATGAATTGGAGGGGCTTGTCGAACCAGCGGTTGGAGCCGTCGCCGTGCCAGTATTGGTGCGCGCGCTCTTCGAGAGTCACGGGGGATGCGTCATCAAGGCAGACGACGAAGGAGGCGGATTCGATGGCTTCGATAGAGGCAGCATTGATATCGGAGGCGGACTTTAGGCGGGTGTAGACCTACGACACCAGTGAGATTGCTGTTCAGTTTTTCTTTGAAGGTTGAGCGGGCTTACATCTGTCCAGACATCGCGGTTCTGGGAAGTGAGGATTCCCACTGGAGCAGCCTTCTCAGACTTCTCGTAGATGCGCTTGAACTGCAATTCCAGCTCGCTCGTGTTGAGCTGCTTTCCGCCGATTGAGTGAGGGACCTTCCAGAACTGGTTCTTTCTGACCACAACAATATGCTCATTCTCCTGATGGGGATACTTGACGCTGGTATCCGCGGGCTTCTTGGGCACACGACAGCAGTTGAACATCCACTCATAGGAGCTCATGGCCATGGGCAACTTCTTCATATACTCCGGCTCCAGACTGCCACCATCAACGGCCTTCTTGAACTCGAGGACAGCAGTGGAAATGGCGGCTGCCCTCTTAGCAGGGTTCCGCCTCTTGCGGTCGTCGCGGTGTGAGTAGAAGTAGCTGACATAGGGAACAACGGGGTCACGGTATCCCATATACGCGGCCTCGTTCCACCACTCGGACAGCCAGTTGCGGATATTGGGGTCTTCTCTCCGCGCAGTGAGCCGTTTCTGGAGCTCCTCGCCGGGTCCACCTGGAGCGACAAACTCCTTGACAGCTTTTGTGGTGGTCTCATATTCGGTCTTGCTGAGGAGCGGATGAACGGACTTGAGGTAGCGCTTTGCAGTTTCTTCGAGCGTAGGGACGGGAAGGCGGGGAAGGGAGTCCTCGAAGCGGAGCATGGCCCCTTTGGATTGGTCCTCCTTGTATCCTGATTTCCCTCATGTTAGAACTCTGAAGCGAACTGTTTTTCAAGCCTAGCATGTGACGAGATGCTTATGACGAAATGCTTATGACGAACCTGCTGGTAGCGAGGATTGCTTCCTCGACTGAACGGGTGCCATGGCGACGATCTGTACGAAAAGTGAGCTGGGGGCTTCTCCCTCGGTCATCCAGCAAAATCAGTGGAAGTTACCTTTGAAGCTTGGTGAGGAACGAAGCGCGTGCGGCTTAAAAGAGATGCGGATGCTCGCGTTCTGGTTATTGCATTGAACATCGCCTGCGGTGATGTGGGATGAAAAGGAGAGAAGAAGCAAATGAACAAGAAATAGGATGCCAGCAGGAGGCAAGAAATAAAAGATGGGTTGATGCTCCTTTAGGGGCGTTGCTAGTCAGTTTCTATGGCGGGTCGTCGGTAGGGTGGGCAGTTGAAGATTGGCAGCTCCGTCGTGACTTTGGACCTCGGCAACTGAGCGGGTACCCAGAGCGCTGTCGACCTTGCGTGACCAGAAAATTATATAGTGTGTCAGCCGCTGGACCGAATGTCTTACTATCATTACTCTGGGCAGAAGATATTTATGCGGAAGACTGAGAGTATTTATATTTCTCTCAGCTGCATATTGGCGTGTCAATTGTTCTATTTAATTCCAAATTCGGGCAGTTCTCACGATGTCTGCTTCAAGCTAGGCCATCATCATGGCGAATAACGGTGAGCGATTTCCCCGGATTCGGACCCACCACAACCACCCATTAGCCACTCTCTAGCCACATTATCAAATCTCCAACGTACCGAGGGAATTGGAGGGACGCAACTCGCCGTTCACACCTCCTCGAACACTCGTACGAACTGTGCACACATCGCATTTAACATATACCGAGCTTCCAACCTATTATCAACAGACTCGGTAATTAAACTTCTAGAAGAACTGTGACCTGTTCATCGTGCTTGTTCCTTTTACAAGCTTTACCCCCCAGGAGAACACCTCCAAAAGTTCAAAGGTTCTTTCCCTTTCACTCCGTTCAGCTTTTTCACTATCACATTTAAGATAAATTGTCCTCCTCCTGTTCCCTGGGATGATTTAGTTATTCTGAAATTGTATGAGATGTGGTGGAATATCTAGGAGTTATGAGGACATCAGTCTAATACATGGAAATGAAGCATTCGCTAGGTTCTAGCGCTTTAGAAACGCCTAAAGTGCGGTATTCCTGATCTGTAGTAGGGATAAGGAGGTCTTAGATACTCCTGTGGCAGAGTTGAGAGGAGTGGCTTGTCCCTGTTCTTTTAGTCCAGTCTCACCTCCGATGTCCCTGGGCCTTCTTACTACGACACCGCTAACAATCTTGAAGTATTAGCATACTGCTAAGATGGGATTTTGCTATTTTGCGCTGGAAATATATTGTTCTTAGGGCCTTTTCTAAAACGGCGCATAGCATGCAATCGCTTAAAATGTAAGCCGCATAGGTCCATAAGTGGGTATATATCACAATATTAATATAAAATTTCAAGAAAAGCCTGTTATTCTGTGGTATACCTTCTATATCCTTTTCTTACCATTGCGTCTAGTAAACTATGTAAGCCACTCTGAATCCAAAGGAGGTTGGACGCTTTTATCCAGATGTCAGCTCCATGGTCTTTTCGACCTCACATTGCCCACTCGTCTTCTCTTTTGTCGAGTCGACTTTAAACTCCCTTTCTCTTTCAAGCCTCATTGAACCAGGCAAGAATACCAATACTGGTTAAGAAATAGTTTAGGCAGGAGACTTATCCTGTGATAACAGCGAAGACCTGATACAAGGGGTCGGAAGGACTATTGGGCGCAGGGATAAAATAACAGACACTTGAGAGGAATATAAACATAGTATAGAATGCAAGGGGAAGCGAACCACTGCTAGTACTGCTTATCCCTCAACTTCCGGGACATGAAATCTAGTCTTCATTCTCAAGAAACAGACCCCATTTCTTATATTTTGAGATTTCGTCTTAATTTAGCATGACGCTTAAATATCTGAAAGGTCTTCGAATCGAACACGTGGAGCAATCCTTCCATATTTCTTACGAGATTTTTTAAAGAAGAGAGCTGCTAAAGTTTTACAAGTTAAATAAAGCACGGAAGTGTCCCTTCCTTCATATTATTAAAATATATGACCCGAGCTCCGCCCTTGACATCGGGACTCCCTTTTCAAGAAGTAGACCTATGAAAATTCCTATCATTTACAGAAAGAGATCTGCAGATGTATACGGAGTATGAGAATGTCTTGTTAAAAAGAGAAGTAGAAGGAGGTGTCAGTTATATACCACTGATAAATCCGGTTTGAGTTAGAATCTGTTCGCATTATGTCTTTGTGTTAACTTTCATGCGCCGTGAAACAACTTATTTCTCCCAGCCGAAAGAGAAGTTCGCAATGCTTCTATTCTCATAGATATACACAATATAAAGGTGGAGTTCTCAAAGGCCTAGCCATTGTGGACCCACATGGACTATGGGTATAAAAATTTTTCTTAACAAGAGTTATCCATGAATACCAGCTCTTCTAGAAACTCGCATTTGTGGTTTAGTGGTAAAATTAGCCGTTGCCATTCAGTTCAGCGTCGGCTAGCCCCGGGTTCGATTCCCGGCGAATGCATTATCTGGTTGGTGTTTCACTCATTTTTGTGATTTACACAGACACACTTTTTTGCTCCGTGAAAAAATTCGCTTGACAGAAGGTATTTGTAAAACTACAAGGTCGTAGAGCTATGAAGGATTAATTGGCGAGGTGAGGGTGTGATTGACGCATGCTAGCAGTTGCTATGGGTGTTGAAATTTACTGCGTTTTTGGTCTGATTCCTGGAGAAGTGAATATGTTCCCATTTTGTCACCTGCTTTTCTGTGAAAGAATAAGAGATATCTAAAAGGAAAATAACACTTAAATACTCCTGCATGATGTCTATTTTTATCCCCCCTGTTCCAGACTATCAACGCTGGGGCTTGTCGGCGACAATTTGGAAGTGTATTGTTATATGCGGAACGCAACGCTTCTTTTCCCTATTAAATCTAATACATATAAAAGACTCCAAGTCTTTATCTACAACAATGACCTGAACCGTAAAAAAGAATACAGACATCTTCTTTCTCGAGGTCCCAGCTGTTTCTGTCACCTCCTCACCGTTCCAAAAATCAACACCAAAAAATCAACGCCAAAAAATTAACACCTTCAACCAAAATTAAAATTTCAAAAAGAAGTGGAGATGCTGGGACTCGAACCCAGGCTGGCGCGGCCACAACGCGACGTCATACCCCTAGACCACATCTCCTTAGCTGCAACTGTTGTTGTTCTGATTTGATGGAATAAGTTTTTGGTTTTTCAATTTATAAGCAGCTGAAAACTTTGCGCTAGTTTAACGGTACGTAAACTAAAATGAAGAGAAAAACACACCAAAGACACAAAAGGTGGGGAAGAATTGAGAGTTAGCGGAACACGGAATAATTGACGGTGTGGTTTTAGGTGAACTAGTGGCGGGTCAGGGCCATCCATGCGCAGGGGTCGATATCGAAATAAACAAGAAAACAGCAACACTCACTTCATGATTGCAATGCAGAAGCGCAAAGCATATCAAGTGCAACTGAAAATGAGGACTCATGTTCGGTGTCATCCTCTTTCAACATTTATGTTCCAGAATTAAAAAATAATAATAATTCAATTTAACGTGCTACCTGGTTCCCAATCGGGTCTATGAACACGTAATATCAAATGCTTAGAGCAAAGCAAACCCGACTCTAGAGGAATGTCCCTCTAGATTCCAAAATCTTTGCCTTTTCCCCACC